TGGGAATGTCCCCCGTCCTAGTATGTGCTAATGAGCTCAAGCCCAACCCCGAGTGATCGTGGTAGTCGCGTACGGGCCCGCCAAAATTTTTCCTATGTAAATTCATAGCTCGGGATTCTAAGATGCTAGAGAGCTGAAATTATTCGGAATGTTCCCCGTCCAGGTAAATACTGGTGAGCCCAAACCCAACCCCTGGGTAATCGTGGTACCCACGTACGGGCCCGCCAAAATTTTCCCGGGCAAGTTCATAACTCGGGGGTCTGAAATGCTAGAAGACTGTAACATTAAGAGAGTGTTTCTCGCCCACATTAGTCTCAACGAGATCAAACCCAGCCCTCGGTCATGCGTGGTACCTACGCACGGGTTCACCAAAGTTCTCGGGTAAGCTCATAACTCGAGAACCTGCAAAGCTAAAAGACTGTAGTTTTATAAAGATGTTCCCCGTACAAGTAAGTCTCAACGAGTTTAAACCCAGACATCGGGTATGCGTGGTACCCGAGTGCGGACTTGTGAAAAAAATAAGTTGCTAACTCAAGAGCCAGGGAAGCTAGAAAACTGACATTTTAAGGGGGTGTTCCCTGCCAGTTTTGACGGACAGACTTAATTTTTTAGCTAGAAGGATCTGCCGAAAAAACCGATGCCCGTTGAGACAAAAACTGGGGGGAACTATGCAAAAAACGCATCATCGCACGGACAGGCCGTGCGTTGGCCAATTATTTATTCCTTTTTGGATACTAATTAATATGGGTGCATACCAGAGAACTTAAACCATTCTCAACTTACTTGTGAAGCAATCGTTTGCTAGGGGAAGCAGTCTGAAGCAGCTTTGTCAGCAGATGGTTGCAGCTGACATGCGCTACCACTCGAACTACCTCAAATGCTTTCACCTGTCATAGAAAGTGAACATGAAGGAAGGCGAAATATGAAGGTGGAAAGGGGAGTAGGGGAAGGAGGGGAGGGGGTGGGGAGACGGAAAAGGGAAATGATTTTAACTTCAGTTATCTAGAAACAAGCAGCTTAGCATTGGCATGTACAGGCTTGGATTTCCCACTTCAACAACGTGGGAATAGATCCACGATCAGCGCTGATCTCACTCTTGTGTCATATTCACCGGCCACGGCAAGGCTGGTGCTGGGGGAAATGCTGTGAGACGGCATCAGTAAAAGAATACTGGGATTTTATCCTTACTGGTGAAAACAGAGATGCACAGCGGTCGGTAGCAGAGTTCGTCTTCAAGCCTGACCAGGTCCTAGTTTGATCTCTAATAACCAGCCTGGTCGTAAAGGTGAACCAGATGGATTCATATCAGGAATGTCAGCTCCCACGTCGATTAGCCATTTGTTTAGTAATATTACTCTTTTAATAATTGCGACGTAATAGTATTTTACATTACTATCAAAATCGCTCGAACACCAACCCTGAGAAACATCGCGAATGTGCTCTTCAATCAGAGACCATGTGTGTTTCGATGGCCGGGTTCAGGATAATTTTAGGTTGTGCTCTGCTGAAATTTATTATTATTAAACGCTACTTCTGTCTCTGTTATTGCATGCTCATGCATTCCGGTGCCTTGGATACAAAGACTACCATGTCTGTCGAAATCTTGCTATAGAGCTACAATGCCATTAGAAT